ATGTGTTAGTAGAAAGAATTCCTCTGACTTTTCTTATTTAGAATGGTTTCTTGTATCTTTTATTTTTAAACTGACAGTTGTATTTTACTCGTCGGCATTTCTTATTTCCAAGCATTATGAAAAAATATATACATGCACAAGGGATGAGAACGAAATATCATGATAAACGTGTCATTGTTTCAGCAGAAATACGTTAAAATTATTAAATCAATAATAACAACGAAAATTTATTGGAGCATATGATGGATGAGTCGTTGTATTTTGAGATTGGCAACATCGGCGACACCACTTCATTATGATAATGTCGCATCCATTTTATATTTTTGTCATTTTTTCTGTTGGTAGTATGACTTCTTCAAGTTACGCATCACTGAATACGTTGAAAAACCCTATAGATGAGGAAAATCAAACGCCCACATTACACGGTATTCCTGATTTAATTTGCTTTCTGATTATATGGTCTAATCAAACCAAAGCTTTGTAATTGGCCCAGAGCATATAACATCAGGAATCTAAATATGTCTATCTTGTCAGCATTCCGCCGATTGAGGTTGTAATTACCATCGGTGTTTTGATAGATCGTATGGTTGAAGAAGTTTCACATGAGAAGCTTAAAGTCATATATAAGACATAAATTTTGGACAAAAATCGGTAACAAAATCTTCTGATTGTTTACAGGTTTTCTGAAAAGAAGCCCTCACAACTTTTAAGACAATATTAAACAAATATTGAGCCTATGAAAGCGTATGATGCGTATGTAGTTTCATTGATCATCCCAATTGTCCATCAACTTCTGAGTATACCATGGGAAATTATTCAATTAGATGACATGTAGACAGAACTGTGAAATTGTACCTTGATAATCTACACGCTTAGAGTTTCATGAAATCTCTAACATGGACTGTTCTCAGAAGGATCCACCAATATTTTCAGCCTTTCATAGCTTTTCGTCATAGTTGATATCTGCCTTGTAAGTATTAAAAACTAGTGTCTGCAGTATCCATGATCATCTTGTTAGCGTCTAGATGACAACAACAATCTCACGTGTCAAAGGTATTCAGAAATATTAGTTTGTTCCAGTCAAATGTTGGCTGCAAGGCAAATTGGTGATCCCATGTATCTTGTTATTTTAATCCAAATACATTAACCATTCAGGGAAATTCAACAGACAGATGGTGGTGGCTGATATCTCTGCCTTCTCTGTCATACACCGCAAAAAACCACAGCTTTATACTCAGTTCAAAAGAGGTTGAAGCCACTATTACACCTGTTTGTCAAGCCAACCAGCGATTACCGATTTCTGACTTTATCTCCACGGTGCGAAAAAAACACATACCCAAACCTTCTCCGAATAGTCTTTGGGGAAGAATGTAGGTTGATGTTTACAGACGACGTATACAGAAGCAAGTTCGAATTCTTCAACTCTTATGATATCTGTTCTGCTTAGACCGAAGATAAATCAAAACACTAAATTGACCAACCATTATACGAGATTTATTTTAGGATCAGAATCGTAGTGTGACGATGATCACTTAGCGGACGCACGTAACACGATGGCCTGCCAGATGTTGTGAATGCTCGAACGTGAGCCTCCAGTCTAACGAGTCAACTTAAACAGTGAAGGTCAACGTCCAGTGTTGAGTGAAGAATATTATAGGGTAATATTTTTAGGGAATTATCTGCCGCTACAAGTCCTTTGTCTTAGATCTTGGTTTTTGTCACTGATTTGCGTAGGTGTCCATTGACATAGGTGTCTGTACGCCAAAACAAGCACACATTTTTTTGGTTGTTTTAAATGCAGGTGGATGATGCCACTATGAAACTCAGCGATACAGGTATTGATTTAAAATTACATGTTTTAACTTTGAACTGCCGCCCGTTGTCACAACTAGTCCTGTGAGCTCCACGGTTCTGAAACTGTATTATCGATCTGACAGTACTGTAAATGCTGTGACACATTAAGTCATCACTAAAGGTGTATCTTTCAGCATACATCCATCAAACTAACCTTATTTACAGAATGATCAGTAACGCGTTACACCATCTCAAAATCGCAGACAGAAGTAGCACAGAATGGATAGAAATTTTCAGAGTCTTGATGTTCAGGTCAGTTTGCAGTCAAAATGCATTCAAGTACAAATTCAGTCTACAAATCTAGTAGGAATTTAAAATAACCCAATCTGCAGAAGTCCAGTTTAACAAAACAGAAGATCTAGATATGTTTACTACGTAACAGGTGACACCAACTAATGGACTAAACAGTTAGAGTTAAGATAATCAGGAAAATCTGCCAAAAAATTTACGTAGACATTCTAGTGATTCCTTTCTTTTAAAAGATTTCTTCTGATAATATTGTTTAGAAAGAGAATGAAAGCTTTATAAACTAATCAATTAATCTGGAAATTCAAACGACGCTCATAACTTATTAAGTATTCTAGATTAGATCGGATACTTTCTTCCACTCCTTTGCTTTCCTAGTGAAACAAAGGACCTCAGGCTTTGAGATTTGAAGTTTAAGTGGTAGTAGTGTTGTGTTTACGCAATGGGGTTACTAGGCTGACTCTCAGCCTTCCTTCTATTCCATGCTTACGACTGGCTGGCAGAGATTGAAGAGTTCGTCGACTGGAAATTGAACCTAGACCACGTACGTGCTTGAAAAGCACTCCACTACTGAACTACCGACGCAGACGTCGGATACTAAGACTAAATAATTCATTCACCCTCATATTTTACTTCGAATTTTAAGCTGACTATTTTCTTTTAAACGTTTAAGTCAGCCAGGTATTAGACAGTCTGAGAAAACGTCATTTTAGAATTCGTACAAATTTGTTTAACAGTATTTGGCATGACACTATATCTTTTAAAAGAAATTAGGATGAATAATTTTGCGTCTTAGTTCAAGTGTGGTCTTGTATAGTTAGCTTCATTTGTAATCCTGAAAATATTCAATTCCCTCTGACTATATTTTAAGAGAAATGACCAGTGAGTGACGGTTATTTATAGTTATATTGGAGAAAACGAACACTTATCCAAGCTGTTTCAACTAAATCTTCATTGAAACGTGTCCGCAGAAGTAATAACGAAAATGTCACGCAATGACAGTCATAAGAAAGGAACCATTTATTGAATGACAACTGAAACATCTATCAAAAACGATTGCTACTGATCTAAGCATTTCCTATCAGTGAAATTAACAAACTTAGTCACTCAGAAGCAAACAAGCTACATTGACTGATTCAGATAAACATTTCAGTAAACCTGAAGAATGATAACGACAAATCAATAACCAGCCTGGTATGATGAACTTATATCATTACTCAAGAGAACTTCACATTTATAAACTTTAAAGTCATGCTGAGTATGATGAGCAGAATGTCACTGGAGGCTTTCCTCAGCAGAATATTGACTCGAAGAACATTTCATCCGGAAAATTATTGACTATGGTTGCCAGTTCAATGAGACATAGAATACACCAAAAGTGGCACGTGAAAAGCATAAGTTAACATTATTTGACCAAATTGGTGTCAACTGATTCGAATTTCTGCATTATAGTAATTTTTTATTTCTGCGGAATTATATTTTTGGGAGAGGATTAAAATTACAATTCACATAACAATTTAGTTTATTTTAGATTGTTTTTTCTAGTAATGTCATCGCTAAGAGGGTGGAACTTTCATATCTTCTCTGGACTTCCTCTTCCGTGTTGCTTTAGAGCTAAGTGAAACTGGCGTATTTTCAGCAGTATTCATGAAGTCGTTTTTAATTTGAGTCTGCGTGATTCACACCTCGCTTCTTAAACTGATTGAATGTTATGAATTTGACTTTTTCTGAGTTGATAGTTTATTCGGTTACCTTCTAATCCTTATTGTCGTGATACCGTTAGGTTGGTTGGTTGTTGTTTGACCGTGGTTTATTCCACCTTGGTATTATTTGAACTCGATTAGATTGAACTTTGGTTTTTCTTTCTCAGATGGTGTGGTGTCTCTTACTTCTTCCATCTTTTGGGTCTCTAGTGATTTGACCCTTACAATTTTCATTTGAATTGAATCGATTTCCAATCATTTTCCTGCTTCTTTCGTGTTATCACTTTGTATTATGGATAGTATGCCTATTGTTCTTTTTTTCATTCAGAGTGATCAGTCTTAAAGATGTAAATTTTGTTCCTTTGTTAAAGCACTTCATGTTTTCATTTCACTGACCAAATTTGTGTAGCTTCGAATACCTATTTGTATTCCAGAGGAACTTTTATGTAGTCAGAAAGCCAGGTAAAGTTTGTCGCCCGTCTACTGACTTCCTTTATTAATTGATATACAGATAAAGCATAGATTGGTATGTCTGCTAATTACTTGTTCTCCTGCATTTCAGGCCTCAATAAATTATAATAGAGCTTTCTACTAGTATTCATCTGATAACAGTAATAACAGGAATCACTAACATTTCTTAGAATTTATTGGTGATAATACTGAGTTCTAATGAAGCTAAGATTCCTTTGAAATATATTCGACAGAGTCGTCGAAATGAAGTGATTGCAATTTTTTCTTTAGCAGTCGTATTCCAAATGAAAATGTTGCTTGGCTAATCTTTTTATCCACTTCTGTTTGGGCACCATTGCTTATTTGAACATGATACATACTGAATAAACCTGAATCAGAATATCGAGGGAACTACTGGGATTATTTTGTTTTAAAAATGTTAATCAAATCAGTTTCTAACTGTTATTGATTTGTAATGCTGTCTGATTCAGTGTTATTGTGTTCAGTAATATTAACATGACATCTGGTATATGTGAGAAAGAACGTCAAGATTAAAAAATTCACTGTCTCGCGGTTGTAGTTATACATTATGTTAGCCTGTCAAATCATCACAGTGAAATGATTCACCACAGCATGCAAAAAAGGAATAACCTGTGTTGTATGAATCATACATGCAAAACAGATTTTGTTTTTGCGTGTCTGTTAGTTTAGAATTCATGTCTGTTTACCTATGAGTCAGTTGTACTAAAACTGGCTTCTTTCTAGTACATATTCATAAGTGAACCAACATTAACCACGGACACTGAACCAGGGGTTGAAAGGTAATCACGTTATCAGTTAGTCAATCATTAAGAATTCATTTTCTGATGTTTTTCAGCGTCATTCAACTTGGAGTAGAGCTTCACTGCCATCTGATTTCACGTAATTATTAGTTTTGTGGTTGTTTTTTCTTATTTTCTATACTTCTCGGCAATATTAAACTGATAATCATTGTTTGTGAACGCCATAGCCACCACCTTAAAACATTTTGTATTATTCAGGATTACTCACACTCCCACCACAAACACTGCATTAGACCTTGGTAGACTTTGGTACTTTTTCGCATTTACAATTATTTTGTCTTTATCCTGCTTTTTTGCTGTTGGTGTCTTCAGATCTATTTTTTTGTTTGTTTAGTACTTATTTTAAATGTCGGTAAAATTAGATGCAAATATTGTAGATATGTGCTGAAAATTCCACATTGTACCACTAGTACTGTTTCTGGAATTAAGCAAATTATTATTATTATTATTATTATTATAAGTGGGAGTATGCTTTGACGTTCGACTTTGTGGACACTAATGGCTTTTGACTTCTCATCAGAACTGCTAGCAATTCATCTCAAAGCTTGTAACTAATGTACTGTAAACTGAAATGAAGTTACTGGATTTGTCGGGAATGGCTTCATTTCAGTTTCCATTGTAAAGTAAGCGTCACCACAGCTTTGCCTGTGCGTTATTTTGTTAAATGTGTTTCTATTTGTCTCTTTGAATTTTAGTGATGACCTAAAAAGTCTTGTTTGAATGTTCTATTTATGTTTGGTATGAGCTGTTCAATATGCTATCAATAAAGTGATGAGGAGGAGAGAAAAATTTCACAAATCGCTTATCATTTCTACTATACCAGTCTAAATAAGTTATGTAACAAAGCAGGCTAAGCTACAAAACTGATTCACTCCTTTAAAACTTTGTACTTGTTGTATTTACTGTCATACATCTTTCTGTGACAGAGAAAATATATGCTTGAGTCCAGTCGTAATATAAATAGGTTACCAACTGGCGTCCAATCAAAATATGCAATACAGTCCTACATGAGGTCAGTCGTCTTTGACTACAGCACTGGGTGACGCGGGTTCAGATCTCAGAAGGGACAGAAATTCCCTCAAGTTTGCAGATATGGCTTGCCGACTATTGCCAAGTAGCACGAAACTTAGGTCCAAGGCTTCCTGCAGATTGCCTTCAACCATCTAACATGAGCAATTGTAAAGAATTAGTTAGCACACTTCTTTTTATTATGAAATTTTTGAGGTCAACAGACCTGTTTTAAGTCTATGGTTATTTCAGCCGAGGTGTGAAACTAGTATTTTCTCTGCGAATCCAAACTCAACTAAACGGTATAATTTCAGGAACTTCTGAAAACAGGGTGGCGGTGACCCGTTGCTCGCTTCCATTTTTTGACTTTTCCATTACCATGATAATGTAGAAATAAGTATATAAATTATACCAAGATAGAAATATAGCACTGATTGACTAAGTAACGAGAAAGAAAGTTCTTCATAGTACTTTAGGGAAAGTATAAAACACAAATGATATTAAAGTATGCTGCAATCATTCTAAATGTTAAAGGCATTCATCTCATTTTGCCATGTGATATATTTTACAAATTCTTATACCGGATTGAAATATATGCAGTACAAAACTAAAGGCATTCATCTCATTTTGCCATGTGATATATTTTACAAATTCTTATACCGGATTGAAATATATGCAGTACAAAACTAAGTGTGTGAACATTTATTTTCTGGAAAATTTCATCTAGTCACAAGTTCAAAAACTGGCATCTTGATAAACTGCTGAAATTTTAGGTTGTACGACTTTTAATTTTGAAAGAATTATTGTAAAACGTAAGTTAACATTGATTCATAATAACTAACACAGAACACATTGATGAAGTTCATTTTACCTAAATTGATCATTAAATAAATGTCCATTTTATGCCTGTTTCCTCGCTGCCTGGCCCGCTGTTTGTCACATTATCCAGTCTACTGCAATCAAGAAAATCATTGGCGATAGTAGGCAGCCTTGTCTTACTCCTGCCCTCACTTCGAAGGATTCCATGAGTTTCCCCTTGTGTATTACTTGGCATGCAGCATTATCGTACAACTGTTGGATGAGATGTATTATTGTCGGTGGCACCCCGTGGTAGCGAAGTAGTTGTCAAAGCACCTCTCAATCGACGCTGTCGAAGGCCTTTTCAAAGTCGATGATGTTGAGATAGAGAGGTGACTACCATTCCAAGCTTTGTTCAGTGATGATCCGCAGTGTTGCGATTTGATCGATGCATGACTTGTTTCTCGTGAATCCAGCTTGTTCCGGTCGGAGTTTTTCATCCAGGGCTTGTTTGATTCTCGCCAGGATGATTCGGCTTAGTATTTTGCTTGGGATGGACAGGAGCATAATTCCGCGCCAGTTCTTGCATTGACTTAGGTCTCCTTTCTTTGGTAGTTTGAATAAGTATCCCTTCTTCCAATCCTCAGGTACTTTGCCTTCTTTCCACACCTTTTCCAGTAGTGGCGTCATCAAGTCCGCTGTTGTCTCTGGGTCCATTTTCAATGCTTCTGCTGGGATTCCATCTGGTCCTGCTGCTTTTCCAGCTTTTAGCATGATACCATACTGTCTTGAAATTTTAGAAAATTAGCCCTTTCCACCATCTTTTAAATCTTGATGGCTGCTCGCATATATCCCTACTTTCAGGCTTAGGAGACCAGAGGCTAACAACGACCCCATGATAACAAACAAACTTCTACTAAAGTAAAAGAAACTTCAGAACACGGTATTTTGAAAAATACCTAGTAAGACCTACAAATAATCGATTCCTGCCATGGGAATAAATGAAGGACACACTCTGGATAACTGCATCTAAATAATCTTCAATTTACTTCTGTGAATCTAAAGTATAATTGAAAAACAGTAACCTATGGAAATAAGTATCGATAGAGGTGTTTAAGATTCAAACAAATTCATTGAATTTTCATTTCTTATACTTCTCTTTGTTAGCAGTACTTCATCCTCTTATTTAACACACTGCATGAAATACACTCCGTCTTCGGTGAAATGTTGTCTCTAATAGCCTACAGTTCAGATGGGTGGTTCTTACAGATTTTTCATATTAAGCCTAAAACAACTGCTTTACTATTGAATGAATTGAATTTCTTGTCAGTATAAATCTAATGCTCTCTTCCTCTTGATCAATATTCGAATTCTGTGGCATATAAAATGAACTAGTGCAGTCTTTTATCATTTGATGGCATCATTGTTTTACCAGATCTGAGGTCAAGGCTAAACTTTTATTTTCGAAGAAATAGTTTTAGTCGTGTTTGCTAATTTTCATGCAACAAAATGAATGATAAAAAGTGGCAACAAAAGCAACATTTTCTAAAGTCTATCTGGTCTAATATTATTAACTGAATACTACCATTCAAAACAGAGAGAAAATTAGGGTTATTTCTTTGAACTTACAAACTGAAAATCGGTGGTTAAACGAAGCACAGTTGAATAATTCAGTTTCGTATACTGTATAAGCGCTAAAATTCATTTATTGTATGTCAGTTTGTTTATTTGATGTCTATTCTGATCAACTTCCTTTCTTTTATTGGTGAAGTTAAACTGTACTCAGTCAGGCCATTTTACTCAGCTCAGTTGTTGTAAATGCAAATAAAATACCGTTTACTGAATAGTTTTCATTTTTAGAGTACTTTACCTCTTCTTTCGCACACTATTAATTATATCGAATAGTTTCTTTATTAATAAGTGTGGCTTTATTCGAAACAGTAAACCACAAGTTTATTCCATACATATACGATGTTCCGGACTTATCTTTCTTTCATATTCTCACTCTGGCTGGTTGAACTACTACTGACACTCTGAACACACAGTCTGTTACATATTCAGTATAATAATTTGCTCATTCGCTAGAGGCATGCATGTAATCACTTGATATTTGCACGAAGCAGACGAATCATAATTATTATTGTTTCCTTTATTTCCTACAGGAACATAGGGCTTCAGCCATGCGTCTCCATTGCGTTCGGTTCTCTGCTAGAGTCTTCACCTGGCTCCAAGTCTGTCCACACGTTGTCATCTCCTCTTCACATGACCTCCTCCAAGTCACCCTTGCACTGACGACCAACTCGCCGCTTCCCATTCGGGTTCCACTCGAGCAATGGCTTGTCTAGTGATGTCACTTGATGGCTTCCTCAGATTATGGCCAATCCATCTCCATTTCTTCCTGCCTATTTGTTTCACAATCGGTTCCTGCTGGGTTGGTTCGCTCATTGCCAGAAATCTCTGTTGCTGATCTTTTCTGGCCGGCCATCTGATCTTGAGTATTGAGCGAAGACAACTGTTACAACTGTTAATGAAGGTCTGTAGTTTGTTTGAGATACTCTTTATGACGCACCAAGTCTCTGATCCGTATAGTAGCACTGACTTCACATTGGAGTTGAAAATCCGGATCATATTTTTGATGCTGAGTGTTGTTGACCTCCACACAGACTTGAGATTAATGAAAGCTTGTCTTGCTTTCCCGATTCTTGCTTTGATATCCTCGTCAGTTCCATCCGCCTGTAGTTGAAACGATGCTTCCCAGGTAGGTAGGTGAAGGAGGTTGTTTCTTTCAGGTTCCTCCCATTTATGCTGATTGTTATCTGTTGTTGTTGTTGCTGTTGGTGGTGTTGCCCAGGAATCTTCATCACCTCTGTTTTCTCTATGTTCACCTGAAGGAAGTCCTATCTTTGATGCTTCTTCTGCCAACTTGTTGCTTTTCGCTTGCATATCTCTTCCAGCAGTTTGTGGGAAATCAGACATATATCATCGGCGAAGTCCAGATCCTCCAAGTTTTTTTTGTGAGTCGATTTTATGCCTGTTTCCTCATTGCCCGCTGTTTGCCGCATTATCCAATCTACTGCAGTCAGGAAAATCATTGGCGATAGTAGGCAGCCTTGTCTAGTTAACTATATAGCTATGAGTATGCGGTCTGAATCAAATATAAGATACGATTTCATATTAAGCGGATTTTAATTTCACTAACTTATCGGTTTAATCCATGAAATGCGAGGTGTGAAATTTATCTATCGCATTGTAACACATTTCACTTAGGCTTAA